CGCCAGTAGCAAACAATGGAGTGCGCTCTGCTGGACAAACTAAGTAATTACAGCATTTCAAGCATTTTATCTGCGTTATATGCTCCGTAAAAAAAAATTTCATGTCTGCGGCGTATCGGCGGCATATTTGGCGATACCGATATATCGGCGACAGGCTCATATCGGCCGATATAAACGATATATCGGTCGGGCTCAAGTATAAGCGGTAACATTCTTTACAACATTTGACACTTTCATTTGACACAGTGGACACTTTAGTAGTGACAGCTTTTCTGTTTGCAAACATCAATTTTAACTTCCTTGGTGATCAGGCAGTTCTCTTGAAATTAGATTTGCCTTTTGAGGCTGTTAAAGATTATGCATCACTCGTTTCGCGTTCAAGAGGGTTCCTCGAGCTGAAGGGATCCCCCGAATTTGGTGCGGATCCGCCGCGCCGTTACGGAGATATGGCCGTTCAAAATTTCAATGGTTTTCCATAGACTTAAGCTTTAAAGCGTTTAATCCAGGCCGCCAGTAGCAAACAATGGAGGGCGCTCTGCTGGACAAACTAAGTAATTACAGCATTTCAAGCATTTTATCTGCGTTATATGCTCCGTAAAAAAAAATTTCATGTCAGCGGCATATTTGGCGATACCGATATATCGGCCGATATAAACGATATATCGGTTGGGCTCGAGTATAAGCGGTAACATTCTTTACAACATTTGACACTTTCATTTGACACAGTGGACACTTTAGTAGTGACAGCTTTTCTGTTTGCAAACATCAATTTTAACTTCCTTGGTGATCAGGCAGTTCTCTTGAAATTAGATTTGCCTTTTGAGGCTGTTAAAGATTATGCATCAGTTGTGTCTTGTCTCACCCTTGTGGAGTGGAGTCAGTTTGCTTTTGAGTCAAAGTCAATTATCACCGTTCTCACTCCCCCTTATCCATGTTGATATATGGATTATGGCAAATAACTTGGCGGCAGTCCATTGAGAAAGCATTACACCAAATTAAATTTGTACTTTGCTGAAGGATTTAGCTTCCTGCGCTTATTTTATTATTAAATATCTGTCGAGGGTGTAATCCCTTAGCGCTTGAGCTGCTCGTTCGAGCTGCACCTTTTTTTTTTCTTTTAAAGCTGATTTTCTTTCATAGAGAAGGCAAGCCTTTTCAGGCTTTTGACATAACTTGTCATTCCTCGACATTGATGTGTTCTTTTACTTTATGCTTCAAACAGTGGTATATAGATAGCAGCGCTGCTGTAATGATTTTATTGAATTCCCCTCCACCCCTGTCTATGAGTACAAGTTGTCTTCATCTGATGATGAGTTAATAAATCTAGAATGTATACGTTTTTCAAGAGACAACAATGTGTATTTCTGAGTTTGAGTCAATCCTTCAGTCATCATTTGAAATTGAAATTGAAAATGTATGCTAAAGGACAATATCCTTATTGTCCTTTAACATAAATCAACGGGGACACAGAGGCGCAATGCATGTTTTTTAAGAACGTACTTGAACATTTTGTATTCCTCCTAAACTCCTCATTTAATTCAGATTCACTCCCAGTCACATGGCTCTTATGATTGATTACTTGATTAAAGGGGTCATCTTGAGACTCTGGGTCACAACACTACAAGATAATGATTTTTTTGGGTGAAAGAGAGTGAGCTTATGTTATTCTGTTTCGCCTCTCTTTTTTTAAAGCAGCAACTCCGAATGACTCCTCCGCTTCAGCATCACCACCATCAGTCTCGTCTGCCTGGTCCAAGGGGCAGTGGAGGTCCTGGGCTATTCCCGGATCCGGGCACGCCAATTCCTCAGCAGCCGCTGCAGCTGTTGATGCCACGTCTGGCCCACCATTCTCCGGGGCCCAGAACACAACATGACACACACGTACCACGCTCGTTGAACTCACCGCTGAGGCACTCACATGCACATCCCAACCAACACCAGCAGCATCAACAGCATCACCCCAAGAACATTCACATCAACCCTCACTTCAGAGGACCTTCCTCCTCATCTGTGCAAGGTATGGCCCCAAAGACCACCAACCTGATTTTTATATACAGTAGTCAACATTTGAAGTGGATAAAAAAAGTTAATCAAAGTTGTCCTAAGACAAGAATGGGTTTTAGGACAACTTTGATGAAAGGTTTTGATCCACTTCAAATGTTGACTACTGTAGTTAGGTGAATGGAGGCTGTCTAAGCATCTGCTGTAACATGTCTTTGACATTGTAAAGTGCCTGTCCGCTTGTTAAAGGGGTCATGAATAAAAATTGTCTTGGTATTTACACATAATAGAGGTTACTCTGCAATAAAAACATACTATTATGTAAACGTATCATTGCCACTATTTTCCTCGACACGGTCCTTAACACATGTCATTCTTGTATGTAATCAAGGAGGTGTTCTAAACAACTCCTCTCAGTCCATCAAATGAAGGCCTTTTTTGGTGCAAAATACTTGGCAAACTTTATAAACTAACCTCGGAGAAACAAAAAAGTGCATTTCATGATCATCATGATCTGTGATTGGTGTAATATGTTATGGCTCATTGTACAGACGTTCTTTGTCCAAAGTAGTTTACTGCTGTTTATGCATTAGTGAATCAAGCCACTGACTAAATGTTCAACAACTGTTCCTGGTAGTAGCTTGAAAACCATCTATTATCTATATCATGATTCATTTATAAACAAAGTGTTCAAAGAATAGTTTTCAAATTGCTGAAGCAGTCAATTCGAGACCAGCCTATCAATGATTTGATTTCTGCATTTTACACTGCTCAACAAGTCTCTTATTTACATTGTTTTCACTGCATTAGTTATGATTAAAGTATCGGTGAGACTAGAGAAATCATGTTGCAATAAGGAGGTCATTGCACTGTGTACTCAGTAGACATAACTGGCTTCAGTGCAGCACTGCAGCCTTTGATTCAATGGGAGTAGCTCTAAATAATGCTATAATCAACACTTTTCACAGTTAGTTAATCTTGTTGGCTGTTATAGTAAAAATGCAGTAAAGTTTTCAAGAGAGTTCCACTTATAATACTCATTTCATATGCAAAGATATTATCCAATCAGCAGTAGTCATTTATATTGAAGTCTCACAGCTAGACACATGGCCTTCCAACAGAGTATTCAAATCAGAGGGCTAAAATCAGGGTTGAAAATGACCATTTATCTCTAAATTCTGACTGTTATTGATGGAGAAAAAACCCCATAATTATAAGCGCACCTCAGGAAACAATATGAAATCATTTAAAAATAAATTTCATGACCCCTTTAAGTCTGACATCACACGCCATCATTTCCAAATGCTGTATTAGGTGCCAAAAACAAACGGCTAACAGTGCTAATATACACTCACGGTGTGGTGTAATACTACAAAAAAAAAAATCATGATCCTGACCTTTAATGGCCAGACAGTGATTCATCTTTTATGGATTGTAAAAATATTGATGTCTGGGATGCCGTGAGCCCGGAGACTGTAGTGTACACTGTAATTTTTTTAAGCTTAGGTTAAATGTGACACCATGATTAAATAGTGCTCATAAACGGCTGTTGACATGGTATTCTCAACTTAAATGAGTATAGGCTTGGACCCAGAAACAGTATTCCTTATTTCACGATTTAAGCAGATTCCCTGTTCATTTTTAGGCCTTTGCACTTTTGGCTGATGCTTACTCGCATTTTCGCTCAGTCCTTTTAAGAGTTTTTTTTCCCCCTTTGGTATGGCCTTCACTCTGTAGGCAGTCCATCAGCATTAAACCAGCTTTCTGAAATGCACACATCTGCGGAGGTGAAATGATTCACAGCGAAATTACTCCTTTTGACTGTCAGTTTATCTCATTAGGTGGCCCAGTCTGCTCGAGAGAGAGAGATGCACAGTTTAATCAGCAGAACAGCCCTCTCTCTATGACCAGCTGTGACAAACCATGGTTTAGACATGTGGCAAGGAGAGACTTTCATGGTGTCTGTGTTACCTCGCCCCACTCTCTGGTTCTGCATCCCTTTTTCTGTCTGACTCGTGCTTTCTCTATTTCCATTTAATCTCAGTTCCCTCAATGCCTCCTGTGCAGAACCAACCGAGGCCTAACATCGGTCCACAGAGACCCCCGGTAAGTAATCTCACGTTGCTTTGTTACAATTAAGTGATTTTACTCTGCATAAAACTGCAGTGTGTTACATCATGGTATTTCTGGGTTTGACTGGCATGTAGCCACCAAAAGCAAAATTTGTCTTGCTGTGTGTATAGCATGTCTCTAGAAAACTAAAAACATCCTCATATGTAAGCTGAATCTGCCAGTTGAAATCGAAATGGAGACCGTGAAAAAACAGAACAGATGTAAAAGCCCTTTACTTGTGTGTAAGGATGTAGAGGAACCATCAGGCAGCTGCCCGTGCTGTAGCTAAAGTGATTACTGCTGAGGAGGAGGCCTTCTGAAACCCCCCAAACTCTGTTTCCCCCGGTTCTCTTCTTTTTCCTCTGTTAAAAGTACTTTGATTTTCCTTTTTACTATTGCTGTCTAAATGATGTATAGTTCAGTGTTTCAGTTTGGAATATGGCAGTGACATGAGCACTGTGCAGTGCTACATTCAAAGTTTTCATTCATGGGATCAGTGCTGAATGAAAAAAAAAAACATTTAATTTTGATAATCACTGGGATCAAGTCATTTACACACAATGTCAGATAGGACACTCAAGACTCATATAAACTTTTACTATCAAGAGAGAATTTCCCAAAGTGTTCATCTTGTCAGAATCCATGGTCCATTAAAACACATTTTACTGGATTGTACTCCAAGTAAATCCAAATTTAGTCTTAAGGTATTTAGAAAATTGTGGCAAGGAGAGACTTTCATGGTGTCTGTGTTACCTCGCCCCACTCTCTGGTTCTGCATCCCTTTTTCTGTCTGACTCGTGCTTTCTCTATTTCCATTTAATCTCAGTTCCCTCAATGCCTCCTGTGCAGAACCAACCGAGGCCTAACATCGGTCCACAGAGACCCCCGGTAAGTAATCTCACGTTGCTTTGTTACAATTAAGTGATTTTACTCTGCATAAAACTGCAGTGTGTTACATCATGGTATTTCTGGGTTTGACTGGCATGTAGCCACCAAAAGCAAAATTTGTCTTGCTGTGTGTATAGCATGTCTCTAGAAAACTAAAAACATCCTCATATGTAAGCTGAATCTGCCAGTTGAAATCGAAATGGAGACCGTGAAAAAACAGAACAGATGTAAAAGCCCTTTACTTGTGTGTAAGGATGTAGAGGAACCATCAGGCAGCTGCCCGTGCTGTAGCTAAAGTGATTACTGCTGAGGAGGAGGCCTTCTGAAACCCCCCAAACTCTGTTTCCCCCGGTTCTCTTCTTTTTCCTCTGTTAAAAGTACTTTGATTTTCCTTTTTACTATTGCTGTCTAAATGATGTATAGTTCAGTGTTTCAGTTTGGAATATGGCAGTGACATGAGCACTGTGCAGTGCTACATTCAAAGTTTTCATTCATGGGATCAGTGCTGAATGAAAAAAAAAAACATTTAATTTTGATAATCACTGGGATCAAGTCATTTACACACAATGTCAGATAGGACACTCAAGACTCATATAAACTTTTACTATCAAGAGAGAATTTCCCAAAGTGTTCATCTTGTCAGAATCCATGGTCCATTAAAACACATTTTACTGGATTGTACTCCAAGTAAATCCAAATTTAGTCTTAAGGTATTTAGAAAATTTTTTTTTAAACATCTTTAGTTTTAATTTTGAATAACTGAACCTGGCTCTCGCCGTGAAGCTGGCATGGCATTAAAAAGAAGGAAAAAATTATCACACAGCAGATCCATTTAACTGTAAAAACTGATGTCACATTACCTAAAATATACACTTTCTCTTATAAATTCTAACCTAAATTCCTGATTGTGAAAAGGAAACTTTGTCCATGTGTTTGCCAACTATTCATGTACTGTGACCCCTTGTTTGGACACATTGTGGACATTTAAAATGATTGGTCATTCCTAAAATTGCTGAATATGAAAAGTTCCACACACACACACACACATTCATGACACATTTCCAGCTGTCTCCCTCTCATAGCCAGTCTGGTATAGACAAGACACCATTTAAAATGCCATTGGCATTTTGCAGGGAGCGGTGTCCATTAGCCCTCTGGGCACTTGATTATCATACATTAGCATATGAGCACATCTCATCTTACAATAGGCTGATCCATAATTTCTCTATGAATATTTACTACTGCAGAGTTTTTGAATATTAATCTCCATTCTACATATTTATATTGTATTTTATGTTTGATACTGCTCTTAGCAGAATTAGTATATTACTCTTTAGTAAATCTGTTTAAAAAAAACATAGCCTGGCTTCATTTTACAAGTTAGTCGAAGTTTAAAGTTAGATTTTCTTTTGTTAAACGACATTTATTGCTTTATTGCATATTAGTTGGATGGATAAATTGCTTTTATTATGTCAGAAAGTAGCACCGTTGGAAGGATTTTTGTATATAGGTATATAGAATAGAAAACACTTGTAGAAATATGGAAGGAATTTGTCTAGAAATATAAGAAATCTGTTTTTCATATTTGATGTTTTGTGTTTGTATGTCAGGATCAGAAATTAATGAGGGCTTGGGGCAAAAATACTACCAAAATTTAAGATAAAGCACAATTAAACTAAATCTACTTCCGCTGTTGCCGTTAAAGTGAAATGTGAAAATGAAATTAAAAGTGTTTAATGTAGCATTACATTTAGATCTGCTTACATTGCATCTGATTCCTTTACATGTTTTTTTTCTCAGTGTTCTCAGCATTATAATCAGTCACACACGTTTCTGTTGAGTGAATGAATGCAGTGGCTAATCAGAGGCGTTTAGATTAGTCACCGCACTCACTGAATTCTGCACTCTCACAAATTCTCATCATAAAGTGCAGAGGTGAAATAAGAGATTCATTTCACAGTGTAGACAGCTTCTGTGATTTATAACGTGAGGTGTTTTTGAGTGCTTAAACTCTTGCTAGACTGAAGTCAATGATGGGAAATAATCTGCTTGCTTTCTGTATACAATTTATTCACTGTTAAAATAGTTTTTACGCTGGTAAGACAACCAATGTGAAGTCTTGATTTTCTAATTCGTAAAAAAGCATGAAACTAATTCATAGATTATTCTTAGTTTGTTTTGTCTATGTAGCCAGAATATGAAGAGCCATTTCCCCAAATACAAAAACACCTTTTGTATTCTATTAATCAAAATTAATAAGCAGCATTAAACAGTCTGTGAAAACAAACATAAATGGCATGTCAGATGCTTCAGTTATATTTTTCTAAAGATGGCTGTTGTTGGTGTTGATAAAATTTTATCGGTAACAGGCTGTAATGTTCTGAATGATTTTGAATATATATGTTTATAATTTATTTTTCTTTTCTTTTTTACCTTGATCTATGAGAATTTGTCAGATACCTAAAGACAGAGCAGAGATGAATAAGTTGCTGAGTTTATTTTAAGACACATGAGGCTGGTCTTCAAAATGGCAGCAGCTCATGCTTGGCATTTGTCTTTCTCTCTCATCTATATCTCCCAGGCAGATCATAACTGGTTACATATTGAACAGATCCATGGGTATTTACAAAAGATTAGCCCCCCGAAAGGACATGCTTCTTTTATCAAATGAATACAAACTTGCAAAGGTATTGTGAATGCACTTAAGCTCCCATTGTGTTATAGGAGCTGACCTTTTGAATAGAGCAATGAAGTCCACAATAACAATGTGATTCTCTCTCGCTCCCTTCTGGCCGTTGCTTAGCTAAGCTGCCTGATTGACCTTCTGTTAAGCAACTTGGCTGGCCTTGGTGACACTCACTGGCCGACTGAAGATCAGAGCTGAAAATGTGGCTTAAAAGTTTGATTGCATCTTAAGTCATTTATAATGAGTAAAGAGGTGCTAAGCATCACAATTTTCTGGAGTGTGGCCCTTTTGAACGAAGGCTAATTTCTTAAGAGCAAAGGATATTTTCAAAGAATAAAGGAGAGGGGATTCATATTCAACTGCAGGATTAGTAAGGATCGTTATCTGTCTTTCCTCTGGAAAGGTAGAGGGGGGTTGAGTTTTATGAGCAATGGGGTAGGTAAGCGCTGAAAATGGGTATATGCAAATAGTTTTCTTTCTGCCTTAAAGATTTCTCAGTGGTTTAAGCTGATGGTTATGATCTTAATATGAAGAGTTACATTTTAAATGAGCACAAATAAGAAGCTTTTTGTCTTTGAAACTCATGTGTCAACAATAATATTTTGGTGCTGAAATAGTCATAATGTTTTCTGTGGAGTCAGTGTGATTTTTGCTGTTGGCTGTCCTCCTCCAGGCTCCTCCTGATTTCCAGCAACATCTCCAAGGGAATTTTGGCCCACCTCAACGGTCTCTGCCCCCCCAGGATCAATGGAGAGGACCACCACCACATCATCAGGATCCAGAGCACTTCTTCCCTGGTGGTAAGGTCAATTTAAGGTGGTCACACTGGTTGCTTGCATAGACTATACCTGCATTGTTTTGAATATCTGTTTTGACTTTTGTTATTCCATCCAGTCGTTTACCAGCAACTGAAGCAGTCAGAATTTATGCTGTAGGTTTCTGGCTTCTCATTCACGTTATGTCTTTTATTCCTTTCTTTTCTCTTTTCTAGAGCCACGTTTTTCGGGCCAGCACATGTTTGACCAGCCAGGCCCTGCCCCCCTCATGAATAACAGTGTTCTTCCGTTATCAGGGCAAGGCCCTCCATCTTTCCCCCCACAAGGGGGACACCGAAGTCCTGGATTTGGTTCTCTGGGGCTTGGGCAGAACCAAGGGCCTCAGGGAGGAGGTATGCCTATCAATGATTTGATTTCTGCATTTTACACTGCTCAACAAGTCTCTTATTTACATTGTTTTCACTGCATTAGTTATGATTAAAGTATCGGTGAGACTAGAGAAATCATGTTGCAATAAGGAGGTCATTGCACTGTGTACTCAGTAGACATAACTGGCTTCAGTGCAGCACTGCAGCCTTTGATTCAATGGGAGTAGCTCTAAATAATGCTATAATCAACACTTTTCACAGTTAGTTAATCTTGTTGGCTGTTATAGTAAAAATGCAGTAAAGTTTTCAAGAGAGTTCCACTTATAATACTCATTTCATATGCAAAGATATTATCCAATCAGCAGTAGTCATTTATATTGAAGTCTCACAGCTAGACACATGGCCTTCCAACAGAGTATTCAAATCAGAGGGCTAAAATCAGGGTTGAAAATGACCATTTATCTCTAAATTCTGACTGTTATTGATGGAGAAAAAACCCCATAATTATAAGCGCACCTCAGGAAACAATATGAAATCATTTAAAAATAAATTTCATGACCCCTTTAAGTCTGACATCACACGCCATCATTTCCAAATGCTGTATTAGGTGCCAAAAACAAACGGCTAACAGTGCTAATATACACTCACGGTGTGGTGTAATACTACAAAAAAAAAAATCATGATCCTGACCTTTAATGGCCAGACAGTGATTCATCTTTTATGGATTGTAAAAATATTGATGTCTGGGATGCCGTGAGCCCGGAGACTGTAGTGTACACTGTAATTTTTTTAAGCTTAGGTTAAATGTGACACCATGATTAAATAGTGCTCATAAACGGCTGTTGACATGGTATTCTCAACTTAAATGAGTATAGGCTTGGACCCAGAAACAGTATTCCTTATTTCACGATTTAAGCAGATTCCCTGTTCATTTTTAGGCCTTTGCACTTTTGGCTGATGCTTACTCGCATTTTCGCTCAGTCCTTTTAAGAGTTTTTTTTTTCCCCTTTGGTATGGCCTTCACTCTGTAGGCAGTCCATCAGCATTAAACCAGCTTTCTGAAATGCACACATCTGCGGAGGTGAAATGATTCACAGCGAAATTACTCCTTTTGACTGTCAGTTTATCTCATTAGGTGGCCCAGTCTGCTCGAGAGAGAGAGATGCACAGTTTAATCAGCAGAACAGCCCTCTCTCTATGACCAGCTGTGACAAACCATGGTTTAGACATGTGGCAAGGAGAGACTTTCATGGTGTCTGTGTTACCTCGCCCCACTCTCTGGTTCTGCATCCCTTTTTCTGTCTGACTCGTGCTTTCTCTATTTCCATTTAATCTCAGTTCCCTCAATGCCTCCTGTGCAGAACCAACCGAGGCCTAACATCGGTCCACAGAGACCCCCGGTAAGTAATCTCACGTTGCTTTGTTACAATTAAGTGATTTTACTCTGCATAAAACTGCAGTGTGTTACATCATGGTATTTCTGGGTTTGACTGGCATGTAGCCACCAAAAGCAAAATTTGTCTTGCTGTGTGTATAGCATGTCTCTAGAAAACTAAAAACATCCTCATATGTAAGCTGAATCTGCCAGTTGAAATCGAAATGGAGACCGTGAAAAAACAGAACAGATGTAAAAGCCCTTTACTTGTGTGTAAGGATGTAGAGGAACCATCAGGCAGCTGCCCGTGCTGTAGCTAAAGTGATTACTGCTGAGGAGGAGGCCTTCTGAAACCCCCCAAACTCTGTTTCCCCCGGTTCTCTTCTTTTTCCTCTGTTAAAAGTACTTTGATTTTCCTTTTTACTATTGCTGTCTAAATGATGTATAGTTCAGTGTTTCAGTTTGGAATATGGCAGTGACATGAGCACTGTGCAGTGCTACATTCAAAGTTTTCATTCATGGGATCAGTGCTGAATGAAAAAAAAAAACATTTAATTTTGATAATCACTGGGATCAAGTCATTTACACACAATGTCAGATAGGACACTCAAGACTCATATAAACTTTTACTATCAAGAGAGAATTTCCCAAAGTGTTCATCTTGTCAGAATCCATGGTCCATTAAAACACATTTTACTGGATTGTACTCCAAGTAAATCCAAATTTAGTCTTAAGGTATTTAGAAAAAAAATTATTTTAAACATCTTTAGTTTTAATTTTGAATAACTGAACCTGGCTCTCGCCGTGAAGCTGGCATGGCATTAAAAAGAAGGAAAAAATTATCACACAGCAGATCCATTTAACTGTAAAAACTGATGTCACATCACCTAAAATATACACTTTCTCTTATAAATTCTAACCTAAATTCCTGATTGTGAAAAGGAAACTTTGTCCATGTGTTTGCCAACTATTCATGTACTGTGACCCCTTGTTTGGACACATTGTGGACATTTAAAATGATTGGTCATTCCTAAAATTGCTGAATATGAAAAGTTCCACACACACACATTCATGACACATTTCCAGCTGTCTCCCTCTCATAGCCAGTCTGGTATAGACAAGACACCATTTAAAATGCCATTGGCATTTTGCAGGGAGCGGTGTCCATTAGCCCTCTGGGCACTTGATTATCATACATTAGCATATGAGCACATCTCATCTTACAATAGGCTGATCCATAATTTCTCTATGAATATTTACTACTGCAGAGTTTTTGAATATTAATCTCCATTCTACATATTTATATTGTATTTTATGTTTGATACTGCTCTTAGCAGAATTAGTATATTACTCTTTAGTAAATCTGTTTTTAAAAAAACATAGCCTGGCTTCATTTTACAAGTTAGTCGAAGTTTAAAGTTAGATTTTCTTTTGTTAAACGACATTTATTGCATAATGACGCATTAGTTGGATGGATAAATTGCTTTTATTATGTCAGAAAGTAGCACCGTTGGAAGGATTTTTGTATATAGAACATTTTTATAGAAAACACTTGTAGAAATATGGAAGGAATTTGTCTAGAAATATAAGAAATCTGTTTTTCATATTTGATGTTTTGTGTTTGTATGTCAGGATCAGAAATTAATGAGGGCTTGGGGCAAAAATACTACCAAAATTTAAGATAAAGCACAATTAAACTAAATCTACTTCCGCTGTTGCCGTTAAAGTGAAATGTGAAAATGAAATTAAAAGTGTTTAATGTAGCATTACATTTAGATCTGCTTACATTGCATCTGATTCCTTTACATGTTTTTTTTCTCAGTGTTCTCAGCATTATAATCAGTCACACACGTTTCTGTTGAGTGAATGAATGCAGTGGCTAATCAGAGGCGTTTAGATTAGTCACCGCACTCACTGAATTCTGCACTCTCACAAATTCTCATCATAAAGTGCAGAGGTGAAATAAGAGATTCATTTCACAGTGTAGACAGCTTCTGTGATTTATAACGTGAGGTGTTTTTGAGTGCTTAAACTCTTGCTAGACTGAAGTCAATGATGGGAAATAATCTGCTTGCTTTCTGTATACAATTTATTCACTGTTAAAATAGTTTTTACGCTGGTAAGACAACCAATGTGAAGTCTTGATTTTCTAATTCGTAAAAAAGCATGAAACTAATTCATAGATTATTCTTAGTTTGTTTTGTCTATGTAGCCAGAATATGAAGAGCCATTTCCCCAAATACAAAAACACCTTTTGTATTCTATTAATCAAAATTAATAAGCAGCATTAAACAGTCTGTGAAAACAAACATAAATGGCATGTCAGATGCTTCAGTTATATTTTTCTAAAGATGGCTGTTGTTGGTGTTGATAAAATTTTATCGGTAACAGGCTGTAATGTTCTGAATGATTTTGAATATATATGTTTATAATTTATTTTTCTTTTCTTTTTTACCTTGATCTATGAGAATTTGTCAGATACCTAAAGACAGAGCAGAGATGAATAAGTTGCTGAGTTTATTTTAAGACACATGAGGCTGGTCTTCAAAATGGCAGCAGCTCATGCTTGGCATTTGTCTTTCTCTCTCATCTATATCTCCCAGGCAGATCATAACTGGTTACATATTGAACAGATCCATGGGTATTTACAAAAGATTAGCCCCCCGAAAGGACATGCTTCTTTTATCAAATGAATACAAACTTGCAAAGGTATTGTGAATGCACTTAAGCTCCCATTGTGTTATAGGAGCTGACCTTTTGAATAGAGCAATGAAGTCCACAATAACAATGTGATTCTCTCTCGCTCCCTTCTGGCCGTTGCTTAGCTAAGCTGCCTGATTGACCTTCTGTTAAGCAACTTGGCTGGCCTTGGTGACACTCACTGGCCGACTGAAGATCAGAGCTGAAAATGTGGCTTAAAAGTTTGATTGCATCTTAAGTCATTTATAATGAGTAAAGAGGTGCTAAGCATCACAATTTGCTGGAGTGTGGCTCTTTTGAACGAAGGCTAATTTCTTAAGAGCAAAGGATATTTTCAAAGAATAAAGGAGAGGGGATTCATATTCAACTGCAGGATTAGTAAGGATCGTTATCTGTCTTTCCTCTGGAAAGGTAGAGGGGGGTTGAGTTTTATGAGCAATGGGGTAGGTAAGCGCTGAAAATGGGTATATGCAAATAGTTTTCTTTCTGCCTTAAAGATTTCTCAGTGGTTTAAGCTGATGGTTATGATCTTAATATGAAGAGTTACATTTTAAATGAGCACAAATAAGAAGCTTTTTGTCTTTGAAACTCATGTGTCAACAATAATATTTTGGTGCTGAAATAGTCATAATGTTTTCTGTGGAGTCAGTGTGATTTTTGCTGTTGGCTGTCCTCCTCCAGGCTCCTCCTGATTTCCAGCAACATCTCCAAGGGAATTTTGGCCCACCTCAGCGGGCTCTCCTCCCCCAGGAGCAATGGAGAGGACCACCGCCACTTCATCGGGATCCAGAGCACTTCTTCCCTGGTGGTAAGGTCAATTTAAGGTGGTCACACTGGTTGCTTGCATAGACTATACCTGCATTGTTTTGAATATCTGTTTTGACTTTTGTTATTCCATCCAGTCGTTTACCAGCAACTGAAGCAGTCAGAATTTATGCTGTAGGTTTCTGGCTTCTCATTCACGTTATGTCTTTTATTCCTTTCTTTTCTCTTTTCTAGAGCCACGTTTTTCGGGCCAGCACATGTTTGACCAGCCAGGCCCTGCCCCCCTCATGAATAACAGTGTTCTTCCGTTATCAGGGCAAGGCCCTCCATCTTTCCCCCCACAAGGGGGACACCGAAGTCCTGGATTTGGTTCTCTGGGGCTTGGGCAGAACCAAGGGCCTCAGGGAGGAGGTATTTTCCAGAGAGAGCCCCCTCGGCCGGGTTTGGCCCCGCAGCATGGAGGCCCCCCTGGTCCCCGTGGCTTTGTGGGTCATAGACAGCCCTTCTCGCCCCAACAGCAGGGACCCCCCTTTAGCCCCCAGCATGTGCAGTTTGGTATGCAGGTACGCCAGAGAGTAAGTCAGTTTACCAGAAATAAACAAATTTTGAACACCATGTTGATTTACAGCATGGCATGGAACTGGCATGAAAAATTTAGTATAGGAAAATATATTGAGTTTTCGGTGTCTTTTATTTTGCATTTATTTTGTAATTCTGTAAATTTAGTAGGAAATACGGCAGTCATGCACTACTGTTCAAAAGTTTGGGGTTGGACATATTTTATAAATGTTTTTGAAAGTAGTCTTATATGCTCACCAGGGCTGCATTTATTTGATCTAACATGCAGTAAAGCAGTAATATTACAAAATATTATTATGATTTAAAAAAAACTTTTCGATTTAAAAAAAGTCAAGACAATTTATTCCTGTGATAACAGCTGAATATTTAGCAGTCTTCAGTGTCACATTATCATTCAGAAATAGGTGTTCAATAGTGTTTTTTATGTTGTTCAAACCATAATACTTTTTTCAGGATTCTTTTATGAATGTAAAGATTTAAAGAACAGCATTTCGTCAAAATAGTAAAGACATTTATAATGTTACAAAAGATTTCTGTCACTTTTGAAAAATGTCCTCGCTAAAAAAAAAATCATACTGACCCCAAACTCTGTGAACAGACATGTATATGGCAAGGAGCCATACCTAAGGTATTTTAGCTTGGTTGGAAACCTGTAATTGTAAGACATGTAGGTGTAGTGGTGGCCTGTGCAAGGAGAAGCTGCAGTCTTCATTTTAAGCAGCAGACAAGACTGCCCTCTTGTGTTAGCACTGTTTATCAGTTCATGGTTATTTGAGGTCACTGGGTTAGTTGTTACACATCAGAGGTCTAGCTTTCTTTAATGAAAATATTTATTCTTAATTGTCAGTAAACACAAATTGGTGTTGTTTTTCTTGGCTTGAGTTGTAAATTCAGATAATAGTGACAAATTATCTGTCTGTAAGACTACTGAAATATTATACAGCGCTGACTTCAAGGGTACCCACATTCTCAATCATGACTGGCCTACATTTCAGTGTAAATGTCCTTAAGCTGGATCTAATTCATTCACATGCTCAAGGCTACAACTTTGCTTTATATTATTTTATGTATATTTGATTTTAGGTCTTATTCCGGCTGTTTTCTTTGTGTTTTGTGGTATTCAGGGTCTAATGCAGCTGCCCCTGCACCATGATCTGCCACTATCCCATCAATCCTTGCACCAGCAGCACCAGCAACACAGACAGGACTTGCCCCTCCAGGGTCTGCCTCACTCCCAGCCTCCACCCCAACACCAACAGCACCATCAACACCACCCAAGGGACCAACATCCCATGGTGCACCTCTCTCAGCCCCACTTCCGCCAGTTGAATCAAAGACAGATGCAGTCCCGACCGCAGGGCAACCAGCAACGAAACAACCATGCCAGACCCAAAATGGTTAGCCATTCAAATGTGTATTTGTTGCAGTGAGCAAGATGGCAAGAGAAATATTTATTATAAATAAACATTTTTCATTTGTGCATGTCAGCTCAAAAGCTTTTTGAGCAAAATTGCTGTCAATTGACCGATTTTCAGTCTTTGCAGTTTTTCTATGAATGTCAACCCATATATATGACCACCACCTCCTCTTCTTCAGATGCCTCCTTCTCCACTGCAGCAGATTCCCCCTCAACGCAACAGCAACCTCCGTGAGCTGCCCATCGCCACAAGCAACAATAACCGCCCGCCAGTGCCTAGTGGGCAAGCAAGGCCTGTTACCATGGCAACACAGAATGTTAGACCAGGGCAGGCTGCCCGTGCTGGACCAGCAGGAAGGGGAGGATCTGTGGCACAAGGGCTGGGACCTGCCAAAGCACCAGAGCAGCCCAGTGTGCCTGAGATGAAGAAAGAGTGTCCAGCTGCACAGTCAAACACCACTCCAGAGGTAATACTGCGTAGCATGATCATGTGGGAGGGGTTAACATTCAGCATGTTTTCCACCCATAGACTTTTGCAGTAGCTGCTATTTAAAATGCTATATTTGTTCTGTTTGAACTGCATTATTCCACTGAAATACACTCATTGGTTAGTTTACGTGTAGCATAGTCCTATTGTTGTTGTGTCTGATTGGCTCACCTTATTACTATTTTTGTGCTGATACTTTCTGTAAAAGCTTTGTTTTTTAAGAAAATTGATTATAAAGATTATTTTTTCATTTCTGACCTTAGTTTTGGCATGAAAATAACCGTATAAGTTGTCATGGCATTAAAACAGACAAGTAAAGGCTTTTTGAAAATGCTTACCTTAAATTTTAGTCAGTTAAAAGCAATAATTTGTCTTTTCAGTCACTTTAGTCTGACTGAAATCATACCATTTTTTTTGTCAGACTGATATCATACCAGTTCAGACAAATAAATATAGATAATGCAAATGTAGCTTGACTGTCCAGCATGCATACATTTTAATTGGACTACAATTGACCTCTGTTGTGTGTGTGCACCAAAAGAAGTGATGTGCAAACTGTATTCAATCCTTCAGATTTGTTGTGTATACTTGGGCAGAGAGATGAACACTTAAGCTTGATTACACTAAAACTAAACTAGCTTAAACATACTGTATATTTGCACATTTTATCATCAAGCCAAAAAAAATAAAGCTGACTCCTTTTTTTTCATCCTGAATTTGTTCATCATTGTTTAGGACCCATATGAAGATGAGGAGACACGTCAGTACAGACTGAAGATCGAAGAACAGAAGCGCCTGCGAGAAGAGATCCTCAAGCGCAAAGAGCAGCGCAGACAGATGCAGGCTGGTATGCGCAAAAAAGAACTGATGGAACGGATAAGTGGCCAGAACCCAAACCAGACTCCACAAACTCAGAACCCCACACAGTACCCTGCAGCCCAACCCCCACAGCCGGTCCCTTCACTGATCTCTAACGGTACCCCCCAGAACCCTTCGTCAGGTCTTAGTTCTCCTCATCCAAATGTGAAGGCCCGGCTGCAGAACACTAATCCTCAGGCACAGACGTCAGGTTGGTCTGGGCCGCAGAAGCAACAGAACGCTGGTCCTGAAGCCAGCCAGCAGGGCCAATGGCAACCACAGCAGAAGAGGACCATGACCCCACAAAACACTCAAAGACAAGGTGCTGCTCAGACCAGCCCATCAGAAGTGCCAGTGGGTCAGCCTCAGCCTGGGGGAAAGAGAACAGTGATGCAAAGAGCGAGCAGCATAGAATCACCACAGGTTCCACAGAAAGTGCGAGTAGTTAAGCTTCTGGGAGAGGTGAGTGAATTTGTTACTGGTTTAAACTTTAGATGTGATCTTTAAAGTTCATATGCCACTGATTTTTTTTATTATTTTTGTCTTTGTCCTTTGGTGTTTTTTTTGTGTTTTTTTGAAGTAGTTGTCACCAGAGCTCTTTATAGAATAAATCAAAGAACTCTGAACTCGACAAGCAGGATTTCCAATTACTCTAAAAGTCAAGGTGTCTACTTTTTTTGACCACTGAAGTTTTTAGAGCTAAAAACTCTTTAAAGTATGCTTTTTTTCTCTTTTTGAGAAAATCAATACAGAAAGTGGTCTCTATGCTGTGATTTGTGACACCACACTTAATGGACAGAACAATTTTACCTTTTAAGCCCATAAATGGCACTATTCTGGCGTCATTTAAGTGAGTTGCTTGGCATTTGCGCCTTTACTTTGAGTGACAACAGATCCAGACATTGTAAAGATTTGTGTCTTCTTTAAGTCATGGTGATATTTTACGTGACAATTTGAGAAAGATCTAATGGACGTTTAAGTTGAGGGTTCCAGCAGTCATTTAGCATTAAGACTAGAGTTTGAGCTGGTTATTTACAAATCTGGCAGGACATTTTCTGCATCTCAATCAAGAAAAGAAGGACCCGAGGATGATTTATGGGCTCTAAGAGATGATTTGCTGCATTGAATGAGGAGAAACCATTTTTTTCCAGTCTCCTTCCTGAAGCGAAGCTAAATATTTCCTTTGAGTGCAGACTCTCTGTGGATGAAGATAACTGTGTGTCAACTTAGTTAATAGAAAGCTACATGCAGCTATCTGAAGTGCCGTGGCTCTGACTGACAAAGAGGAAGAAGGGGGGGAGGGGGTGTCAGACCGAGAGAATCTGATCCTCTAGGTGCTTCTCTTCTCCTGCTGTCAACCTCAGCTGCCTGACAATGTTATCTCTCTTTCTTATTCTCCCTTCTAACTTGTGCTCGCTCGGTGTTACTCTCTTCATCTATCTCGTCTCGCCTCTCGCTTTATTCATCCATCAGCTCATCATTGAAGTGTGTTCGAATAGGTGTCAGTCTGGGGACATCTGCAATTAATCTTCCTCGTCTATGTTGATATCGGTGTAATAATACCTGCGAGAGTCTGGGAGAAAGGGAGATGGCGGATTTGGCGGATTTGTATTTTTCCCCAGCTTAGCCGTACAGATAAGAGCAAATTAAATTTTCATCAGGAAGAATACACAGCCTGAGCCGTACAAAAGCAGCATGGGGGATGGAGGTGACGGGGGGGAGGTGCTTGTCAAGTGTCGTCACCCCGCCCTGGTGTATTGCAGCGGTGCATCTGATAGATGTAATCTGAAGGTGTGGATTTTGTATCGAGTAAGATTAATCCATTAACCCCCTCTCATGGAGACGCAATTGAGATAATGCACATGGTTTTGAAAGACAGATGGGGAGAAAAGGATGAATGTAGCAGATTTGGCAATTATGTCTTTGCTGTAGACTGAAGAAATGTGTTTATAGGGAGCATACAGTATTTAATGCTTTACCAGCCTGAATATAAGTGTTGCTGTCAGATAAGGAATATACGCTGATGTTTGCTTCTCTTTGTAGTGGACAATATAAAAATTTAGGGATAAATGTAGGCACCTAGACAATACTAGCATTGCTGTCAGGCCCGATACATCTAATGCACTCATACTCATTCTCGTTAAAATGTTCCTATAACGAAAACCGATACCATGCAGTGTTTGTTTCCACACCAAAAAAATACTGATGACAGAACAAACAGGGAACAGAGTGGAGATTTTCAAGAAGGATGTCTATGATATATATATATATAGAACGAGTGCACAGTGGCACAGATGCACAAGCGTTTTAAGTGCACATCTCTTTCTCTCCAACATTGTTGGAAAGTTTGTAGTTAAATTCTTTTTTTCCCAATAGTACATTTCAATAACATATTTTCTAAGAAGGAAAGAGAAAGAAAGAGAGAGCACTTCTTTTGCGTGCATTTCTTTACTGTTTGTTCACTCCGCACATGCACCATTTGGATTAAAACTAAGCTTTGTGTCAGTAAAACATTAACTGTTACATAATTTCTATATAACAAATGGTGTCTGCGTGTAACCTACTGTCACAGACAGACCAGTTTGTTCAACTGTACTTTTAAATGAACATGTAACATATTTAGATCTACGTTAACATGTGTAGGATACATCAGCCATTGTGTTAAGGGAAATTAGGAGAAACATTTGTTAAATTAATCGTTACTGCACACAATGTAAAATTATTCAAAAAACCCTTATCTGGGCTAGAAGCCCCCTTGGGTAAACACTTGCAGAATATAGAAAATAACTTTTGATTTATATATATATATTTAAAGTTTCATGAATGTAAAATATTAAATCAACTATTCTGTTTACAATTTTGACAATTTAGTTAAATAATTACAAGAAAATTAACAGGCAAAGCAGAATCCCAGTAAAAGATAATCATCTGACAGAATAATTTATTCTGTGACTTATGTAAAGACTTACACATTAAATTACACATTTTAATTGAGCATGATGCCATAATAGCAACACTATGCATTAAAATAGACTGGTTTCACTTAGCCTATAGGTTTTAATGAATAAATATGTCAGAAATGTACATCTAACTCATTGAACTATTAAAAATAACTCTAGGATTACAGAAATTACTCAATGAATTAAATGAAAAATATCTGAAGCAAGAACATACCACTTTGGACCTTCTGTGCATCTTATCCCAAGAGTCTAATTTTACCGTTTCAATTTAAAATAAAAATATATATTTTTCCTTGCATATCTACGTTAACACATAGACACAAAAACCTTTAACATTCAACAATACTTTGTCATGCCCTATACGGTATGAAAAGAGCCTGTTTTGTGAGATTTAGTGGTCTGTGAAAAACTTAAATCTGGCCATTTTCAAGGCCTTCAACATCTAAAGACTGCCAGCAGCCATCAGATAACGTAGGCACTTCGAAAGGTTTTCCTGCAGATGAGGAAACAGAATGACTGAGAATCTCGAGGAAGAGCCAGAGGCAGTTTATCTCAAACAGGTCCACTTCCATGCCATCTGTGCTCAGAGATGCAGTCATCACTGTTCTGAAAGAGGTCTAATTCAGCTATACCGAACACATCACATAATTCAACACATTTGTCTCTTATTGTGTCTGTTTGCTTATTCAGTTACACTGTGCCAGTTTAAACTGATCACAGTAAGTTGTGTACGTTTTGGTGAGCTGTAAGACTGCCATTGTATTAATTATCACTTTTGATATAAGCAGTTTACATTTGAATATTTGTGATCCAATCAGACTTCATGATGGACTGTAATGTTTTTTTGTTTTGTTTTTTGTGTATGCTGCTGGAGATTTTCTTTGTGTGGGTTGTAAGATGTGTCTCCTCTGTATTCAGCAGGCAGATGCTGGTCCCAACACTGGTCCCCCACAGCAGCAGCAACAACCAATTGGTCGGCCTGTCCCCCAACAGAGACTTGGTCCCATCAGGAAAGTTACCATGGCAACTGGTGGTGTACAAAATCAACAACAGGCTGGCCGTGGCGTGGCAAACCAAATGAACCGGGTATGACATTGAATCTGGATTACTCTCATAAGCCCTTAATTGGACAGGTGCACAATGCCATTTTGCACAGCTGACACTAAGCCCTGATACTAATGGTGATTTCAAGTCATGTCGAAAGGAATGTATTTATGACTTTCTTTAAGCCACGGCTTTCCGAGTTGGGAACGACTGAATTAAAGCATTATGGTGGAAGCAAATTTCTGTTAGTCATAAGTTGTAACTGAAATGTTTTATGCATTTTGTGTACTGTGGAGGAAGATGATGAAACTTGCCAGAAAGCAGTGCATTTAACTTGTTTACGAGGAAATCAGATCAAATTCCCCATCTCTCATCCTCCTCTGTGGCGACCCAAGAATAAAAAATACACCACCGTTGAAATGTTTGGGGTCAGTGAGATTTTTTTTTATTTTGAAATTATTGATTTATTCAGCAAGGATGCATTAAATTTATCTTAAGTGACATTTATAATGTTACAAAAGATTTCTACTTCCAATAAGTGCTGTTCTTTTTCATTTTTTATTCATCAAATAATCCTGAAGCAGCACAATTGTTTTCAACATTAATAATAATACGAAATGTTTCTTGAGCACCAAATCAACATATTAGTATGATTTCTGATAGATCCATGTAACTCTTAAACTTTCAGTAGTCATTACTCCAGTTCTCAGTGACGTGTGGCCAAGTATGGTGACCTATACTCTGAATTTGTGCTCTGCATTTAACCCGTCCAGGTGCACACACACAGTAGTGAACACACACACACACCCGGAGCAGTGGGCAGCCATATTGCTGCGGCGCCCGGGGAGCAGTTGGGGGTTTGGTGCCTTGCTCAAGGGTTTCACCTCAGTCGTGGTATTGAGGGTGGAAGAGAGCGCTGTACATTCACTCCTCCCACCTACAATCCCTGCTGGACCAGAGACTCAAACCCGCAACCTTCAGGTTACAAGTCCGACTCGACTCTCTAACCATTAGTCCAACGACTGCCCCATATAACTAACATCAAAGGAATAAATTGAATTTTAAAATATATTAAAACAGTAGTTTTAGTCATTTAAAATAGTAATTTTAAGTTGTGATAATGTTCATCAATATGACTGTTTTTAACATATTTTTTATCAAGTAAATGCATCATTAGTGAGCATAAGAGGCATTCAAAAAAAAAAATATATATATTTTTTTTTAACTAACCCCGAATGTTTGAATGGTTGTGTACATAAAACATCAGTTACACACATGTTTTGCTTTTCATTGTTGTATTAGCTCTCAAAGGATTCATGTCTTTGTCAGGAAGTGGAAAAGAGAGAGTGGTTTGAACTTACCCATGAAATTGGTAGGGATGCATCGATCCGATACTCCATTTTCTGCCGGATCGGGTATCGGTCAGACGAGACCGATCCAAATCAGATATTGTGCGAATACTATGCTGTGTTATTGTTAAGCCCCACGAAAGGCACAAAAACATTATAAAACACCATACATTTTTCGTGCACTATATATTAAGTGTTCTGAAGCCATTCCATAGTTTAATGTGAAGTATAGATGAATATTTAAGTCAAGTTCACGTAAACTCTTCTCCCCGCTGCGTCTGTCTGTCATCCTCCATTCAGCATTCAAACAGCGTGTCGCGTTAAGTTACTACAGTCAAAAAGATTAAACTCTCTTCGAGTGCACAATAACTGAGATTTAAAACCGTTAAAAGAAAAGGCTCAATAAAGTATTGCACAGATATAATACACTACGCAGCAATATCTCTTCTCTTTTCTATGTGGAGCGCTGTGACTCTGTTGCTTCAAGCGCATCATTCTGCGGATGGGATGCGCTTAAGTGCTTTGTGGCGCTCTGTATTGAAGCCATACCCTTTTGTATTATAATTTTGCATAATGTAAGATTATTAATAGTCTTTTTTTGTTCTGTTCTATCTATCATATGTTGTGTGTGTGTTGGCATATGCGCAAAACACGTGCGAGCGGCTGTGAGTGACTATATAAATGCATCATCATTCACTCATAATTACAAATTAAGCTTTTAATGTGATTTCAACTTTAAAAGTGCATTAAAATAGAAACAACACCAAGTTCTTCAACATGGAATGCAATAGAAATGTCGTAACAGTCATTTCCCCAGATAATTGTTTCATATTTGAAAGGATTCAGGGAAGGATTCATGGGAAGGATTCATTCCTACAACTTGTTAATTCGTTCCTACGACTTATTAATTTGTGGCCACTGTCCATGTTTCATTAATTTTGTTCCTTAACCCATGATTTAACTAAAATGAGGGAACAAATTAATACATCGAACGAATTCTTAATTCATGGCCATGAAATCTTTAATTTCCCTTCCTCATGTTTAGCACAGTTAGAGATGCGAAAACAGTGATAAAAAGTGAATGACAATAAAATAAACCTGCTAAATTAGAGGGTTAGACTGTGAGGATTTAGGAAAAGAAACAATGCCTAAATATTATTGAATTTGTGGAAATTCGTGACCAAGAACAAAGCCGCATAAATGTAGGCTATATGGGCTCAAACGGCATCCAAAAGCATGGTCGCGATGGAAGATTTTTCCAGCTAACCAAATATTCCTCTAATAAACAAAGCTTTTATACCACACTTGTCATAATCAGAGCTTATAATTTGTAAATAAATAATTGCTGGATTGAATTGCTGCAATTAAAAGGCGCCGTGACCGACACTGACTATACGTTTTCCCGGAGCATTCAATGTCACTAAACGGTGATGCCACAACTAAGAGCATCGTTCACTAGTTTCTGCATGGACCTAACTAGCCTAGGGCACAGGTTTTCAAGCCCTGGGACAAAATGGAATGCTTTTCCATTAAAGGACAATATTTGCCCCCTAAATTGACTTTCCAGTGCATTTTTTATCTTTATAAATAGAATATTAATGTTTAAAAAAAAAAAGTTCAATAGGTTAATATGCAATGATGATAAAAAAGTGAAAAGCGATTCTTTTTAATACTAAAACTGCCAGTAGGTGGCGATAAGTCACTGTCTTAATGCGTGAGTCATCAAGTCATTTGTTCATTCAGTAACTAAGCAATGACTTTTGCGAACGATTCGTTCACGAAACACCGCAAAACTCAGCATTTTGTTCGCATACCCCCCCCTCTGTCGCCTCACGTACCCAAGTTTGGGAACCACTGTTCTACATTAAATATTAAGCTAACAACAGTCTGTTACCTAGCAACAGTCTATGTTAATGTTAGCTCAGTCAACGTAGGCTAACATTAACAGGTGTAGACAGAAAATATGATTATTCTGACCTGAGCTAATTTACTGAATCAACCAACTCACATCTCCTTTGTTTCTTTCTTTTCATCCATGATGACATTGAAGTCATCTGTTGCTGCTTCTGGTGTTTCATCGCTGACTGTGCCGCAACCGCGATACCTGCTCATTAGAACCTTCAGTGAGCTAGTATGAGTGTGCACGCGACGTTCCTGGACCCGCACGCGTCTGTGCCCTGCTCGGTCCTGCTCCTCCGTGGCGATGTCAGCGTGCGGTTAAAAAAATCATAACAAACGAATTTGAAAGTGGGGGGGACACAAACGTGATTTTGAAAAGTGGGGGGGACATGTCCCCCCTGTCCCCAGTGGAAATTATGCCCCTGGAAATAACCTCCAAATACATCTAGCCAAACCCGCGCTCGCTCCGTCTCGAATGCACACAAGCATGCACTGTCACGATCTAATGCACTGTAACTGCCGGATTTTTAAAAACAAATATTTAAAATCTGACATGTTCCGGAACAGGATCCAGCAGGTTCAAATTAAGTACTGGTCATACTACTCACATGATAATGTTTGAAGTGAGCAACAATGTGTTTTGCTGCAGCAGCGCCGATGGAAGCGGTTCACTGACTGCGCAGCACAGCCACACGTGCCACAGTTACGTTTGGGATCATTTAATTTTAAATGCCGTAATGTCAGTTGAAAACATTGCAATAGTGTTTTAAAATACAACAACGAGCACCACTAAACCATTTAAAGAGGCGCGTTCAGCGGTCTCGGTGTCGGGATAGGAAACAGTCAACAAAGTAAAATGATCTCAAACATACGGCGCGCTCTCTTCATTTTATCAAATGATCATAATCACATCTATTCATTTTACAATCCTGCTACTAGCATTTTTTTCAGACTAAAACTCCTTTAATTCAGGTGAGAAAGCAGGGTTTTTTTGAGTGGCTTTTGCACATCCTGTCATGCAGGTGACTGCGTGCTGCTGCAATAGACGCATTTTGCTGCATTAAAGTTAACAATTAATTGATCGTTAATTTAAACGACGATCGATCATGGAAATTATCGAAAATTGACATCACTAGTGTGTATGTGTATGTATATGTATATATAATATATATATTTTGGCCCTATATATATATTTAGGCTACTTGTTTTTCATGAATGTATTTTAAAACAATACAAAGAGCAATGTGTAACATTTTACCAGATTTAGTCCTACACTTATTAACTTTTATTTGTTTCCCTTTTGAGTGGCTTTTGCACATCCTGTCATGCAGGTGACTGCGTGCTGCTGCAATAGACGCATTTTGCTGCATTAAAGTTAACAATTAATTGATCGTTAATTTAAACGACGATCGATCATGGAAATGATCGAAAATTGACATCACTAGTGTGTATGTGTATGTATATGTATATATAATATATATACATATACATATTATATATACATATATAATATATATATTTTGGCCCTATATATATATTTAGGCTACTTGTTTTTCATGAATGTATTTTAAAACAATACAAAGAGCAATGTGTAACATTTTACCAGATTTAGTCCTACACTTATTAACTTTTATTTGTTTCCCTAAATAATGTTGTTTCAATAAATGTTTAGTTCAGTTAATGTTTTTATAAAATTATTGTGCACCCATGATTTTTCTAGAATAACTTTTGCTGCTGAATTATCCACTAACCTAGTTTATAATAGTATTTTTTGTCGTAGATTATGATTATCTATTTTTTTTATTTGTTGTTTTTCATTAATATGAAGTTGTCTATATTTAGCAGATTGTGTTTAACACGCACAAGAGTGATGATCTGGTCAACATACAGAAGTATAGAAATTCTACATTGGTTTAAAAAAAACTGTGCTGTTATCGGATCGGATTGGAATTGGCCGATACTCCGAATTTCTGGTATCGGATCGGATCGGTTCTGAAAAATGGTATCGTTGCATCCCTAGAAATTGGTCATTTTTTGACCATAATCACTTGAATACACATGAATTGTATTTATTCTTTTTTTTGTTTGTGGAACTGTTGCTGGTCCTCCTGGACTTGTATAGTGTTCTCCAGAATATTTAATTCACATCTGCACTCTTTATTAGACGTACCATTTCCTATTTTTCCCCGTCATAAAGAGCTGCTCAAAGTGGTTCTCTCCCTCACGCTTCAGCACTAGTAAAGATGGCAGATTTGGTTTCCTGCTATGGCTCAGCTGTGTCACTGCTTCTCCCAGGGGACTGGTAGCTGTTTTGGAGGAGAGCAGGAGCAGTAATGATTTGGAACAGTAACCTAGTTTATAATAGTATTTTTTGTCGTAGATTATGATTATCTATTTTTTTTTATTTGTTGTTTTTCATTAATATGAAGTTGTCTATATTTAGCAGATTGTGTTTAACACGCACAAGAGTGATGATCTGGTCAACATACAGAAGTATAGAAATTCTACATTGGTTTAAAAAAAACTGTGCTGTTATCGGATCGGATTGGAATTGGCCGATACTCCGAATTTCTGGTATCGGATCGGATCGGTTCTGAAAAATGGTATCGTTGCATCCCTAGAAATTGGTCATTTTTTGACCATAATCACTTGAATACACATGAATTGTATTTATTCTTTTTTTTGTTTGTGGAACTGTTGCTGGTCCTCCTGGACTTGTATAGTGTTCTCCAGAATATTTAATTCACATCTGCACTCTTTATTAGACGTACCATTTCCTATTTTTCCCCGTCATAAAGAGCTGCTCAAAGTGGTTCTCTCCCTCACGCTTCAGCACTAGTAAAGATGGCAGATTTGGTTTCCTGCTATGGCTCAGCTGTGTCACTGCTTCTCCCAGGGGACTGGTAGCTGTTTTGGAGGAGAGCAGGAGCAGTAATGATTTGGAACAGACTGCCAGGTGTGATGATATTGACGGGCTGAAGCAGAAGAGATGAAGATCCCTTGGCCTTTTCAGCACGCTGCTGTCTCTGTACAGTAGTCCATTCCCAGGGGATAAATACAGTGCTAACATGTGTCAGTCAGTCACAGCAGAGCGCCTTCCCACACAGCCGCTCACGCTGTCTCAGTCGGACTGTCTTGCTGCATCTGCCTGAGCTCTCATGTTGAGTCGGATATTCTAAACACTTTCTGCTGTTTACTGATATAACCGTGGCCTTGTAAATCACTCACTGACATTGTACCCAGTGTCTCGCTTGGAGCAAGAGTGAATTGTTTACTCAGTACGTGGTGAGAGAGCATCTAGCTCATAGCATTGGGAAGCCATAAGGGATTTTTCAGCGTGGCTGCTGCACTTAGTTGGGTCCAGAGCCAGCCAACCTGGGGCTTTTGATGCCTCTCTTATATGTAAAAAGATGGATGAAATGTCTTCGCCATTGTACTGGAATATTTTATCATTACTCTAAATGTAAATGCAAGTTAAACACATTTTTATACGTTTAAATATGCATTCAGCAACACAATACATACATGAAAATATTTACATTTAATATATAAATATTTTAAGATTGGTCGGTAAAGTTTTTTTTTTTTTTTTGAAAGAAATGGATGCATCCTTTCTGAATAAAGGTATTAAAGCAATTGAAAGTCACAGTAGACATTTATAATGTTACAAAAGGTCTCTATTTCAAGTAAATGCTGTTATTTTTAACTCTTCATCAAAGTATCCTGAAAACAATGTATCACGTTTCCACAAAAATAAGCAGCAAAACTGTTCAACATTGACAATAAGAAATGTTTTTTTGCACCAAAACAGCACCCATTTCACAGACTGTCTTGTCTCCATAGTTAACATCGTTAATCTAGCAGTTTATATATATATATATATATATATATATGTGTGTGTGTGTATATATATATATATATATATATATATTATTTATTTTTTTTTAATTTTTTTTAATATTTAATATGTTGTACTGTTAATTGTTCTTTCCATCATTATTCAATATTCCCCTCCCTGATGTCCACAGGTGGTAGTTCGGGGTCGAGCACGTGGCCGTGGTGTGGGGCGTGTGATGCAGCAGAACCCAAGAGCTCAGGATTGTCAGAGAAGCACCGTCTGCATTGAAGGTTTATCCACCACCACAACCAACAAACAGCTCATGAACCTTCTCAACTCCATTGGCCCTGTTGAGGTAAGGCTTCCTTAACTTTTTCTGACTTGTAAATTCATATTTCTGGCTTTTATTTTTATTAGGGATCAAGCGTCAAAGATGGGTGTATGTGTGAATTTTATGTATAACTTGCTATATATATCATTGCTACAGTGCCCTGAGCTTACAACCACAAATTGATGCTGGCATGAACTGATGGCCAAAAAACATTAAACAATGTTTTTTTTTAAATCTATGTATTTACAGTATATTACTAAGTGTCAACTTAAAGCTGTTTAACCATTTTAAAAGCCATAATATCATTAGAACAAAAAAGTCAACTTCATATTAATTTAAACAGTTTAATGCATAGGTAGTTCCAGTCAGTTTGATCACCGTTGAAATGAATGTACTTCCTTCATTGTAGCACAATCACAAACATACAGACACCGCTTGTACTAAAATAGCTTAATTACTGAAATGCTACATTATATATCTCAGCTAAGTGTTACCTCAGCTAAGAATGACCTGTGCAGCATCTCTCTTCTAATAGTCAAGCTATGAGTTTCATTACTTCAAAATAGGGCTGTGCAAAAAAATCGAATGCGATTTTCATGCTCATCTCATCAGTAAAGCCGGTTCTGTGATTAGTAGTAAATCTCCAGCACGTGCTTTCAATTCAGATTTACTACACAGAGCCGTAGATCACTGACAAGCTATGCAAAATCGCGTTCAAAATCGGCAATGAATCGCCTGTGATTTTGAACTCAATTAATCGAACTATTTACTATAACATGTAAATCGGGAACATGAAAGGAATATTCTAAAAGCAACTCATGTAAACACCATAATCATAATATTGGCTTATTTAGAATAAGGTAAATAATTAGATTACTGATGTCCATGTAAACATAGTCAATTGACAGCATTACCTTGTCCATTCTGGCAAATGACCATTCTGTACGTGGTGAAAATACATAAGCTTGTTCTTTGCCTCCATGTTGTGCAATAAAGTCATTTAATGCACTCCTAGCTGTAAATTATCCCTCACGTAAACTTCATTAAAAATCAAATGGAGTTTGCAAAACACTTTGACCTGGGAGAAGATTTGTTTCCTGAGAAGACTATGACCCCAAGAATAAACTGTTTTCTGGGTAGAGTGCTCTTCTCAAAATATTACAATAGCGCCATCTAGCTGTGTGCATTCTGGGTTGTGATTTTCTCCCAGATCCATCACCCACTGTCACAGGGTAAAGAAACAGAGGCCATCTCTTACTGAAACATGAAGATGAGCATTTAGATAAAAAAACTTTCGGCGAATTGATCATTTGGTGATTCTTTTATAGATGTTTACAATGTTGCCGGAGCAGCGGAAGGCCATTGCCAAGTTTGTGAACCCACAGCATGCAGTGAGTTTTCAGCACAGCTTTCACAGGTAAGCTTTTGAATTCATCTTAAACTGAATTGTGCTGTTTGTTTATGCACAATACATGCATGCACAAAATGTAGTTGACCTTTGGTGGATAATTAGATTTTCTTTAGAATGAGGCCTATTCACAACAAGGCCAAATATTCATTGTAAATGTCTGTTGCAAATTAGATTTTGAATAGAAACAGTGGATTTCTATAGACCTTCGAAACAGACTTCATGTGTGTTTCACGTTAATAACCCCCAAAAATTGTAAGTGTTGTAGGACAGGTATCAAATATATGAAGTCTCTTCAAATATGTTGTGAGTAGGCCTGAATATTAAGGTGTTGGTGTTATTGGCTGAAGCAGATCAGAGTTGTTATGCCTAATGGTTTGTGTAGCCAAAAGGCAAATGAAATGTGCCGAAATGCAGCATCAGCAAGTATTACTTGTCAAAACAAAGAACGAGCTCTACTGTGACTCTACTTAATCGTCATGTTTTGATGGAGATGCCTCAGATTAGCTTGCTTTTAACTGTGTGTGTGTGTGTGTGTCATTTCCATCACATGTTCCCTTGATTACATAGGCACATGATAGATTTGTCTCACATCGATGTTTCCGTTATTGATGGCTGAGGAACAAGTCAGTTCAACAGACCAGACGATGAGAAGTGAGCAAGAAGAGAACGTCTTTTTCTGAAAGACAGATGCACAATCAGGAGGCTAAAGCTTTGGAATCGGTGTGGAGAGTGCTGTCGACAAACTCAAGCCACATGCATGAAGGAATCATAAACATGCTGGAAATGGCACAGCATTGAACTCATGTCGTGAATGACTTTGGCATGAAGTCTCGCTCTTGTTTCTGTACTTTCATTTATATGGAGTAATCAGTAATGGTCTAAACCAGCAGGTGAAAAAAGAGACAGAGGTATGAAACAAGACATTTTTATGCCAGTTGATAATAGTTGCTCCCATCCTCTAGCTCTCAACGTAATTAGAAAAAAATCTTTTGAATGGCTGGTTTTGGTCAAATAGGATTTCCAGAATTTTTAAATTTTTTTTGTGGAATTTCCACAGTCATTGATTTGAACAAAGTGTTAAGTGGGTGGTTTGGCCTGATTGAATAGTAATGTGTATGCTGCAGTTGTTTTTGTCACCTGTAGAGGGCAGCAGATGCCTTCGGCATAAAGCTCTGTATGTTGGGGTATAACTAAGGGCATGTGGACATCAGAGTGTGAAGCACTGCTTGGTAGAGATGTTGAAGTGCTGGTATGGGTTTGGGTTAAGCTTTTTTTCTAGTTATGTATTTTTTGGAAGCCACTGTGATATTGTAGGGGTCTCTTTTTTTTTCTCTATGACTATTCATGATCTTAAGTTTATTCATTGTTCCTTTCACCATTGTAATTGTATTGCAGTTGGGATCTTTTGAATGGCTGGTTTTGGTCAAATAGGATTTCCAGAATTTTTTAATTGTTTTTGTGGAATTTCCACAGTCATTTTTTGAACAAAGTGTTAAGTGGGTGGTTTGGCCTGATTGAATAGTAATGTGTATGCTGCAGTTGTTTTTGTCACCTGTAGAGGGCAGCAGATGCCTTCGGTATAGAGCTCTGTATGTTGGGGTATAGCTAAGGGCATGTGGACATCAGAGTGTGAAGCACTGCTTGGTAGAGATGTTGAAGTGCTGGTATGGGTTTGGGTTGAGCTTTTTTTCTAGTTATGTATTTTTTTGGAAGCCACTGTGATATTGTAGGGGTCTCTTTTTTTTCTCTATGACTATTCATGATCTTAAGTTTATTCATTGTTCCTTTCACCATTGTAATTGTATTGCAGTTGGGTTTTGTTCTGCAGAGCTGGAGTGGTGGTTCATGACGTGTGTCTTTGTGACCTAAAGACAGCTGAAAAACGATTTGACAATAAATGGCTTTTATACTTTGATTTTAAGTTTTGGTGCTGGAATTGTGCATTTAGATTATTTTAATTGTTGTTAGAAATGGCTTCTAAGCAAATATTAAAGGCAATCAGAAAGTCTCGCCCTTCAGTAATACTACTTTTTAACGTGTTTAGTTTTCTTTCCTCCGAGTTCAACCAGTATTGTGTGTGGAAGAGGATTGCTGAATCATGGCCTGTGTGATGATTTTATTGATGAAGCTCTGTTTGCTTGTCTAGAGCACTAGATGCGCTTGTGACTTGTGAAGAGGTCAGAACTATCCTGCTTACAACAACAGCTTGGTTATTTCTTTGTGAAGAAAGGTATTTTTTTTAGACTATTTGTAATTCTATGCTTATAACTCAGTTCATTGTTTTGAAGTCGGTCAGATGGGAATGCAGGTTACTATGAAAAGAGTAGTTAGGGATAAAATCAGGGTCCAAATCAGCTGTCAAGTGCCCTTTGAAAATACGTTATGCCTATTTT